TTCTGTGTCTCCCTCTCTCTCTGCCCCTCCCCAGCTTGCACTCGATCTCTCTCTCTCAAAGATAAACATTAAAAAAATTTTTTTAAATGTATTCTTTCTGTAAGGTAGGCACTGCTGTCCCCATTTTAGATATTGGGTGACTGATGTTCAGAGAGTTTGAATAACTTGTTCAACTCCGAGGCGGAGCTAGGATTTGAATCTGGATCTGACGGGCTCTCAAATGTGTACACCTAATCCCTCTCGTGAGCTCACGTCCGACGAGCGCACCACCAAGGCTCTTCCGTGGCTGCCCCGGGGTCGGTGGACTGTGCATGTGCTGATACCGCTGTATCACCACCGCCTGGTTCACCCAGGAAGCCCCCTGCTGCGTCTTGTGTGTTCCTCTCCCGTGGGGCAAATACACATGACACTCTTCCTCTGCCCGGACCCGGGCAGAGTTCTCTGACCGCTGTGCAGGTTCAGCTGACAATCAGCCCTGCCCTCCTTGCCTGCCCTTCGCCTGACACAGCCTCCCTGCCCTCCTCTGTGCTGCCTCACTGCCCCCTTAACCCCCCTTCAGCCCTCCGGGATGGCAGCGGCCCCTCCCATCAAATCTAGTGCTGACGCAGCAACGCAGGGCATCAGAGCACTTCCTCAAAGCATGCTTCCCAGTGGGAGGATGGGGAGGGCACGACTGGGCTCCCCCTATGCCCCAGCCTTGTTCCCCAAAGCAGAAACTCTCCCTGACAGCTGAGTGCCCAAACACATTAGGGCGAGCTGGCTCTGAGCATTAAAACAAGTAAAATGAAAGGGAATCTGCACCCCTTCCAACACACACACACACACACACACACACACACACACACACACACACACACTCTATAAGCTCTAACCCACAGACAGCCCAAACATTTGGGAGAGTTTCCACACATCTATGGGTCCTGTGCAGGCTGTGTTCCCCTCCCTTCTTCATTATTAATCTACAGAAACAACACTGGGGACATGTGGATCAAATTTACAGTGCTTAGGGCAAGGGAATAGGAAATTCAGCTGATTTGTCAAAGGATTCCCAGGGAGAAATATTATGTCAATGGATCCAGTAACACGAGCTGGCAGCTCCATTAATAACGGTTCCTATCTTCCTAGTCATCACCCAGCAGAGGGGCTTTCACTTAATATTGTGGCAAAAGTAATTATGAACCTATTATTAATCATAATAATTGATGGCATCAGAGCTTTTGCGTAGTACCTTTTGCTTTTAAGAGACGTTTAACATGGAGTAATGTATTCTTCCGGCAAGGGAGGTGGGGCGGCCATTGCCAGTGAACAGCCACGTCTGACTTCCATTGAGGGCTTACTATATGCCAGGCGCTGTGATAACCCCACCGCATGATCACACTGGATCCCCAAAACTTCACGATGTACTCTCTGCACCCATCTTACAGATGAGAAAACCGAGGCCCCCAGAAGATGTGCCCAAGGATACTGAGGGTCAGAAACAGAACTGGGGCTAGAATTTCGATCTCTTGACTTTCAAGCTACTGAAATGAAATGGCGGCCTACCTGTGGCCGCCCTGTCCTTTAAACAACCCTAGGAGATTTGTGAGAAGAGGGGTTCCATTCTGTTTGGGCCCCGGGGTCTGACAGGAGGAAAGAGAAACTAAGATCCAGAAACAGCACTTTCCTTTTAATGGGTCTCTAGGCACCTCTTGCCAAGGATCCCTGGAGGCCGCCCATGGAAGTCTACAGATGGAGGCTGTCCTCTTATTCCCTCGGATCTTTCCAGAATGCAGCTCCACCACTTGTCTTCTGCATCTGCCCTTACAAAAGCCTTTTTTATGTCAATCTGAAATTCTTATAAGCCTGCTCCTCAACAGCTCTCCGTGGAGATGGAAAATCTTTACGTTCTTACCCACATCAAAATTTTCAGTCCACAAGCAAATTCCTGTAGCCTTGATAGGGGCCCAGGGCAAGGTCATTCTGGAAAAAGGGATTTTAAACACACACACACACACACACACACACACACACACACACACACACACACGCACACCCCCCCCCCCCTCATTGGGAAACACTATGTAAAGCACACCTCCCCCCACCCCAACACACAGAAAGAGCATCTCTCTCTTTTTTCCGTTGAATAAAATCTTTAGAAAAGATTATTTCAGTCATGATTGAAAAGAAAGCATGTTGGAATGCTTCTCTTGTGATCAGTTCACAAGGACATCCCTGATCAATCCTGCTGAACTCTGTAAAAGTCACAAAGAAAACCCACAGGCATCAACTCAGATCATTACTGCGACATGACCTACTGAGTCGGGAGCAGCAGGAGGCAGTAAGTCTGATGGAGTTATCCTTTACCTTCTATAAAAATCAGCATTTCTGTTGAAACAGTGTTCCACTCGAGTGTACTTTGATTGTAGGTGAAGCCTCCACATTTCTCAGTCTACACACAGAACCATAATCTTCCCTCACTCGATTTTTCTCAATGTGGTTGCCCAACTCCTGAATCTCGGAACTCATTATCTCATCCCCTAAAGCTGCGGCTCCCTCCTCCACCGTCCCCTCCTGAGCACGGGGCCACATCCACCCAATTGCACAAGGACAGCCCATGAGTCATCCTTATCAAGTCTCCCTCCTCCTCCTGCACGCATACGATCAACCACAAGCCTTGCTGCTTTTACCACTTCAGCATCTCAAATATCCGCCACTGCCAGGACCCCAGTTCGGGCCACTGTCTCCCCTCACCAGATGCTACAGCAGCCTCCTCTCCTGTCTCCCCCCACCAGTCCTGTCCCATCCTTGCCGGCCCTTACTCTGGTCAGTCCTCTTCCGTGACTCCCCACTGCCCTGCAACAAGGGCATTTAAGTACCTTTCCACAGGTTAGAAGAACTTTCTTTCTCTGAAATTTAAGGATGAAAACAGTTCTGCCAGTGAACGGGGGAAATACCCAGCACCTCCCAGGAAATCAGCAGAGCTGAGAAGCCTACGCGTATCTGCTCCCTGTTTCTCTGAGCTGTTTTGTTTTGTGAGTTTGGTCACCTGGCTCTGTGCCAGCCCTGGGTTTGGAAAAGCAACACGTTTTCTTCCCAGCTGATTCTCCACCAGCGCCCAGAGAGGGCGCCCTTGAGTTACATGGGAAAGCCACCGAGCAGAGGCCTGGGAACCCCGCCTTCTTGCCAGGGGTTGCCAACCAGGAATCAACCTGGGTTTCAGTTTGCAGCTTGCCAGCTCCCCCAAGCAAGCGCCACGCCAGAAGCAGATGGATTGCACACTGGGTTGACAAACCAGACTTTCAGTGCTCAGGTTTTTCAGAAGCAGGGCTTAGTCCAAAGGCCAAATCAATGGGGATTTCATTCTGTTCTCGGGGAGAGTCGGTGGCTTCTAGAGTCTTCTCCAGCCCCGGGACCCTACAGTCTGGCCTCTCTGTGTGCTCTAGCACTGAAGTGTAGCCTTCCAAACCTTCTTCCCCGCTTTCATTCTACTCTTTAACTTCTGAACTGTCAACAGTGGGAACAAACAGACCCTGTTATTATTATTTCCTATGGTTTAATTTCCCGCATAGCTCCAGTCTCCCTCCGCAGCACACACACTCAACTTTAAGGGT